GTGTGACAATGAAAATGGTCTTCATATTTCATGAAAGGGCCAAACATATTGAGATTGATTGTCATTTTAATAGAGATACTATAAATTGGCCTTCTCTCTAGTCGATGTGGGATTTCTAACACACCCCCTACGCCGAGATATACACATCTCAAGCGTCAGACTAGACATTAATGGGTGGTCCGATAGTGGCCCGATAATGGGTACAACAACATGCCCAACAAACAACAAATATCGCTAGGATAGGCTCTAACATAGCTCTGATACCATGTTAAGAAGTGGACTTTAAGCATAACGCAACCCCACAAAATTGACTTGTAAGATGAGGTTTGCATCCACTTATATATTATAAATTAGTTTTATCCTAGTCGATGTGAGACTTCCAACACTTATTGCCTACACATTCTTTCAAATATCATATATATTAGGAGAATATCCTATTCATTGTTCTTTTCATCCTAGTTATAAAAATCTTTCTTATTTGTATCCTCGGTCGCAAAAAATCCAAAGAAAATTTGTAGCATAAATCATAGAAACTTAACATCACTAGGTTAAGCACATAGTTTCGAGTATAATAGAAAAAAAAAAATACTTCATTACTTGTATAGTTCACTCTTAAAAATGCACCTGTGAGAAGTTGACAATAACCGGTAGTATATGTGTGACACAATCTTGTGGCTCCAGCAGCTTCCCAAGTGCAGCACAACCCTCCACCGCCAACAATCTAACAGAATCTTGATCTGAACCATGTTTTAGAGTTAAATTAAATATTTAAAAGGTCCACTCGCACTGAAGAAAATTTATTATTGAATCTACAAAACAAATCAATCCATATAGAATGAAAAATGTGTATTCAACTACCATCCTTAGTGAGATCCTCAAAAATTGACATAGTGTCAGCCTTCAAATGAGTGTATTCAACAGTTGCAGCAAACTTTCCAAGATTTGATGCAGCAGATCTTCTTACCATAGGCATGTCATCTTGACACAACAGATTGTATATTGATCTTAACTCTGTCTTTGACATTTCCGGTGCATTAGGGTAAGCAATGTGAAATAGCCCACATGAAGACACTCGAGCAGTGAACCATTCACCTGCTGCCAACCTCTGAAACAAGATTAAAAAAATGACAGGACATTGAACAGTAACTATACAATACATCATTACTCTTGAATATGCTTTAAGAAACATACAACCAATTAATGCCAGTAGAGTGTTAGATATTGACGCAAATGCAGCAGATCAATATAAGTAAGATATGGTGCAAGTCATTGAAAACTAATAGAATTTTGGTATAGAAATCAAAATCAACCCTATTTATACTGGTACTAGACTCCAACTCCTAATTAAATCAAATAAGGAAACTAATCAAGATACATATACACAATATCACAAAATAATTAAGAGATTATCTATCATACTGAATTATATTCTATGATACAATATCAATATAATGAGATACTTTCTAGATATTCTAACACAAGTTCGGCTTCGGTGCAACAGTTAGAGTTGCAGCCATTTAACTGCCTGGTTAAAACTTCAAGTTGTGGAATCAGCCTCACCAAGTTCATATTAAGGGGCAGCCTACAGTAGACTCATAATAACTCTAACCTTCCCAAAACCCCAACATGGCAAGGGTTTGTAGCAACCTTCTTATTATTCTAACAAATAGTTTAACACGGGTACATTAATCAACAGCCTTTTTGGTTTCACAAGTTTACTTAACAGGAAACAGTTAAAATCCAAGAAAACTAAATGAATGTCATAATCAGAATAATAGGCACTGGAACAATGCAAAAACAAGGAAAATCTTTACTTACGAAACTATAAAGTACAATCAATCAATACATAGTTCAACAAATGGTAATGACAAAGGCATTCATATCTATGGAACAGTATAATCTGACCTTCACCAAAGGAATGAAATATTCAACCAAATCACTTTCCCTCATCTGTGATCCAATCCTACAAAGTGATTCGACAGCTTTATCTCTCACACAAGTTTCCTCAACAGTGCAAAGCGTCTCCAAAGGTGGGAGCAACACATGAGCATGTTCCACTCCGCCGACAAAAGGAACAAACACCCCCAACTCTTCAGCCATTGCAAGAAGTACCTCATCATCATCATCATTATTCTCACCCAAAAAGGGTATCAACTCCCTACGCGTTCGCTCCTCCCCAAGAGCCCGGGCAATCGTAGATAACTTCCGTATCGAGTTCAATCGCAGCTGAATGTCATCATTTTTCAGTTCGTCTATAAGCACTGCTATGGGATATAGCGGCTCATCAGCAATGGACATTTTCTTTTCCTCTCAAAATTTCTAGCCCTACAGTTAAAATCAAATTGTTAAAAAATACTACTAAATTGTCAAGCTAGCATAATTTAAAGTATACATTATTCAACAACAAAAAAGTGAAGGAAAAGTAATGGAATTTCTGAACTAATTATTACGGAATTAACAAAATTATATAAAAAAAAAAATCATTACCCTCAGCTCAGTTCATCCAAAATATTTCTCGAAATAAAAATAAATAAATAGAAATGCTAAAAATGGCATGTCAAAATTTGTCAACAAAACCCTAGAGACAAAATCCAGAGACAGAAGAACAAAACACCATACCGTGTCGCGCAGTAATGTCGATATTTTTCAAAGTTTCGGTTCACTGAAACGGAAGTGAGAAGTAATCGATTGTTATACTCTGTGGAATCGTAGAACAGAGTCAAATAGCGGTTCGTTTTATCTTGGAAATGCCACTTATGGCCAATGGCAAGTAAGCGTTGAGAAAAAAAATATATATATGAAGCTCTGAAAACCCTAAAGCTTCCGAGGAGGACAAGGGCCAAAGGAGTTTCTCAGAACCCGAGACCTTTGAATTCTTGTGTTTTTTGAATCATCTTTCCCTTCTGTTTTTCAATTACGAAATTATAAGAGCTTTTTTTTTTTTTTGCTAAGTTTTGATTTTTTTATACAAGTACAAATTCAAACATTTTTTTTCTTTTTGACAAATAAAAAAAACTTCAATACATATATCTAATAAATCAAAATCAATACAATATTGGTTGTTTAATAGGGTTTTTATCTTGAACTCATANCCTATTGATAGACGGTCTACTACTGGATATTGTGTTCTCCTTGGGGGAAATATCATTTCATGGAAGAGTAAGAAACAAAATGTAGTAGCCCGATCAACAGCTGAAGCTGAATATAGGGCTATGGCATCACTAACAAGTGAACTTATATGGGTGAAGCAATTTCTTCAAGAACTCAACTTCTGTAACATTCAAACCATGAAGATGTATTGCGATAATCAAGCTGCTCTCCACATTGCATCAAACCCAGTGTTTCACGAGAGGACCAAACATATAGAAATTGACTGCCATTTTGTTCGGGAAAAATTGTTGTCCAAAGAAATTTGTACTGAGTTTGTTGGGTCAAATGATCAACTTGCAGATATGTTAACTAAGTCCTTAAGAGGACCTAGAATTGAATTCATTAGTTCCAAGCTTGGTACATACAATTTGTATGCTCCAGCTTGAGGGGGAGTGTTAGAATTATTGTTAGAATGATTAGTGTGAGTTGTGTGTGTGCTGTCAGTATGAGCTGTGTGTGTGAGTTGTGTTCCAACCAAAGTGAGTTGGAAAGGAAATGGGTAGTTACTTTATTTCCCTTATAAATGTAATGCTAATGTAAGAGGAGAAGTAAGCCTTCTCATTCAATAATATGTCTTTATGATTTCTGTGTTCATTCAATAGTCATCATAGTTAATGTTTCGCAATAGTCCACCGCTTTCCAATAATATTCTCCACAACTATTCTTAGTTGTTTGTCGACCTCTTTTGGCACTCTTTATCAATTAGATGTCAATAATGCATTCCTCAATGGCTATTTGCAATTTGGAGAGGTCACTCAAATGACACTTACGTGTGACAATGAAAATGGTCTTCATATTTCATGAAAGGGCCAAACATATTGAGATTGATTGTCATTTTAATAGAGATACTATAAATTGGCCTTCTCTCTAGTCGATGTGGGATTTCTAACACACCCCCTACGCCGAGATATACACATCTCAAGCGTCAGACTAGACATTAATGGGTGGTCCGATAGTGGCCCGATAATGGGTACAACAACATGCCCAACAAACAACAAATATCGCTAGGATAGGCTCTAACATAGCTCTGATACCATGTTAAGAAGTGGACTTTAAGCATAACGCAACCCCACAAAATTGACTTGTAAGATGAGGTTTGCATCCACTTATATATTATAAATTAGTTTTATCCTAGTCGATGTGAGACTTCCAACACTTATTGCCTACACATTCTTTCAAATATCATATATATTAGGAGAATATCCTATTCATTGTTCTTTTCATCCTAGTTATAAAAATCTTTCTTATTTGTATCCTCGGTCGCAAAAAATCCAAAGAAAATTTGTAGCATAAATCATAGAAACTTAACATCACTAGGTTAAGCACATAGTTTCGAGTATAATAGAAAAAAAAAAATACTTCATTACTTGTATAGTTCACTCTTAAAAATGCACCTGTGAGAAGTTGACAATAACCGGTAGTATATGTGTGACACAATCTTGTGGCTCCAGCAGCTTCCCAAGTGCAGCACAACCCTCCACCGCCAACAATCTAACAGAATCTTGATCTGAACCATGTTTTAGAGTTAAATTAAATATTTAAAAGGTCCACTCGCACTGAAGAAAATTTATTATTGAATCTACAAAACAAATCAATCCATATAGAATGAAAAATGTGTATTCAACTACCATCCTTAGTGAGATCCTCAAAAATTGACATAGTGTCAGCCTTCAAATGAGTGTATTCAACAGTTGCAGCAAACTTTCCAAGATTTGATGCAGCAGATCTTCTAACCATAGGCATGTCATCTTGACACAACAGATTGTATATTGATCTTAACTCTGTCTTTGACATTTCCGGTGCAATAGGGTAAGCAATGTGAAATAGCCCACATGAAGACACTCGAGCAGTGAACCATTCACCTGCTGCCAACCTCTGAAACAAGATTAAAAAAATGACAGGACATTGAACAGTAACTATACAATACATCATTACTCATGAATATGCTTTAAGAAACATACAACCAATTAATGCCAGTAGAGTGTTAGATATTGACGCAAATGCAGCAGATCAATATAAGTAAGATATGGTGCAAGTCATTGAAAACTAATAGAATTTTGGTAGAGAAATCAAAATCAACCCTATTTATACTGGTACTAGACTCCAACTCCTAATCAAATCAAATAAGGAAACTAATCAAGATACATATACACAATATCACAAAATAATTAAGAGATTATCTATCATACTGAAATATATTCTATGATACAATATCAATATAATGAGATACTTTCTAGATATTCTAACACAAGTTCGGCTTCGGTGCAACAGTTAGAGTTGCAGCCATTTAACTGCCTGGTTAAAACTTCAAGTTGTGGAATCAGCCTCACCAAGTTCACATTAAGGGGCAGCCTACAGTAGACTCGTAATAACTCTAACCTTCCCAAAACCCCAACATGGCAAGGGTTTGTAGCAACCTTCTTATTATTCTAACAAATAGTTTAACACGGGTACATTAATCAACAGCCTTTTTGGTTTCACAAGTTTACTTAACAGGAAACAGTTAAAATCCAAGAAAACTAAATGAATGTCATAATCAGAATAATAGGCACTGGAACAATGCAAAAACAAGGAAAATCTTTACTTACGAAACTATAAAGTACAATCAATCAATACATAGTTCAACAAATGGTAATGACAAAGGCATTCATATCTATGGAACAGTATAATCTGACCTTCACCAAAGGAATGAAATATTCAACCAAATCACTTTCCCTCATCTGTGATCCAATCCTACAAAGTGATTCGACAGCTTTATCTCTCACACAAGTTTCCTCAACAGTGCAAAGCGTCTCCAAAGGTGGGAGCAACACATGAGCATGTTCCACTCCGCCGACAAAAGGAACAAACACCCCCAACTCTTCAGCCATTGCAAGAAGTACCTCATCATCATCATCATTATTCTCACCCAAAAAGGGTATCAACTCCCTACGCGTTCGCTCCTCCCCAAGAGCCCGGGCAATCGTAGATAACTTCCGTATCGAGTTCAATCGCAGCTGAATGTCATCATTTTTCAGTTCGTCTATAAGCACTGCTATGGGATATAGCGGCTCATCAGCAATGGACATTTTCTTTTCCTCTCAAAATTTCTAGCCCTACAGTTAAAATCAAATTGTTAAAAAATACTACTAAATTGTCAAGCTAGCATAATTTAAAGTATACATTATTCAACAACAAAAAAGTGAAGGAAAAGTAATGGAATTTCTGAACTAATTATTACGGAATTAACAAAATTATATAAAAAAAAAAATCATTACCCTCAGCTCAGTTCATCCAAAATATTTCTCGAAATAAAAATAAATAAATAGAAATGCTAAAAATGGCATGTCAAAATTTGTCAACAAAACCCTAGAGACAAAATCCAGAGACAGAAGAACAAAACACCATACCGTGTCGCGCAGTAATGTCGATATTTTTCAAAGTTTCGGTTCACTGAAACGGAAGTGAGAAGTAATCGATTGTTATACTCTGTGGAATCGTAGAACAGAGTCAAATAGCGGTTCGTTTTATCTTGGAAATGCCACTTATGGCCAATGGCAAGTAAGCGTTGAGAAAAAAAATATATATATGAAGCTCTGAAAACCCTAAAGCTTCCGAGGAGGACAAGGGCCAAAGGAGTTTCTCAGAACCCGAGACCTTTGAATTCTTGTGTTTTTTGAATCATCTTTCCCTTCTGTTTTTCAATTACGAAATTATAAGAGCTTTTTTTTTTTTTTGCTAAGTTTTGATTTTTTTATACAAGTACAAATTCAAACATTTTTTTTCTTTTTGACAAATAAAAAAAACTTCAATACATATATCTAATAAATCAAAATCAATACAATATTGGTTGTTTAATAGGGTTTTTATCTTGAACTCATAGATGTTATAATGTGACAGAAATTTAAATACTTACGTAAACTTCTACCTTATATATAAAGATAATGTATGTTTGGTTTGATTTTATTTGATTTGTATGCAGTATATCTTCACTAACGAGAACAATGCATATTCATACTTTTTAGTACATTAAAATATATAAAGTTTTATTATTTTTACAATTTTATTATTTTATAAACAATTAGTTAAAATATAGAAAAATAAGACATTTGAAATATATATATATATATATAATTTTATGAAAATAAAAAAAATTATGTAACCATTATTTCTAAGAATAGAAGTTATTTAATTATTTTGAAAATTATAAAAGTTATTTAATTATTTATTTTACTAAATAAATACATAAATTATTTTTATTTGCTCGCTTTCTACATATATGTTTTTGTGCTCTTTATTATCTTATGTGTTTATCCTTTTATAAAAATAATAAATTATAAAATAGAAGATAAAAATGTTTTCATATTCATAAAGTTTGAAGCACTCGTGAGATCGTCATCGATCTAGTGCTTAATCACTTTTTTTATAAATAATTGAATATGGCTTTTTTTTAAGGTATAAGCATTCGTGTGATCATTTACATCATCCTAATGCTTAATAACTTTTTTTTAAAATAATTAAATATTTCTTTAAAAGTATAAGTACTTACGTGACCGTTCATGTTGGCCTAATACCTATTTCTTTCATTTTTTTTCCCATCACTCCTAAAATAACAAAAAAGTACAAAATCTTCAAAACCAAAAGCATTAAGATTGTTAAACAAACTTTTTTACGAGAACTATGTGATCCCTGATTTTCACATATAATAGCAATTATCATTCCAAGATCGAAATGACATCATATGAACCTTTGTTGGAAGAAGATATAAAATATCTTTGTTTTAGTAT